CCACATGGAAAGATTAAATAGAAAGAGAGTACTGGAGGAAAGGCCCAGAGTGTGACAGATCAAAAGAGCAAGGCCCCTGGCTGTTACGATAAAGAATGTCCTAGTTCTTGAGAACGTATTTATGTGTGTGTGCACTGGATTTTTTTTTAAAGGAAATAGTTTTATTCAAAGAAAGGTCTGTTTTTACCAAAAGGGCTGGTTAAGGGGGAAGTAGTGGGTGAAAATATAACTTTCACAGGCACTGCTATAATGAATGTTTTGTGCAAATGAGAATGGGGTCCATTATTTTAAATTAAAAAAAATTATTGGAAGGTTGGGGGAAATGGGGCCTGTCTGTTTTTGCTCTGGGTTGGCAACTCCTGTAGAGTTCAGTGTGTGGCTTGGCTGTGCAGCAGATCTACCTGTGTAGACATGCATGTGGTATCCCATGGATGGCAAGGAGTTCTTGCTGAATTTAAGCCAAAGCACGTAAAGGGCTAAGGAATCAAATATTCTTGTAGTCAGCTAAAACAGCACAACTGTGATTCAGGCTGTCTTCAAATACTCACTTCAGAAATGGCTGTACTGGTTGAAGATGTTGCCGCTCCCCTTGTGCTTGAAAATGCCTTGCAATGTACGTTGGCAGAACAGCTTACACGAACATTTCTCATGTGTTTTGTTGCAAAGTTGGCTGGTTTAGGACAGAAGAACTTAAATCCTCTCAGTTAAAATATTCCAGCCTGCTTGTCTCATACCACATGCTGTCAGGAATCAAACTGCCGTCATCTGAAGCAGATGAGGAACGTTCTCCAGTTGTGTGGCAGAGGCAGTAACCTCCAGCACCAGGCTCTATGTAAAGAAGTGATGACTGCTAGCCACCAAAATGGCAACAGCCTTTATGTTGCAAACAGCCTCAGCTTGAAGAGACTGTGAAATAGAAGTAGAAGCAGTGAAATTCCACAGACTGTACCATGTACCTTGGATAAACTCCAGGCTACAGGTATCTCTTCTTATATGCTGTGCAGTTTTATAGGACCTTGTGAAGTACAGAGCAGTAAGGAAACGTATATCCAATGGGATTGGCTCTTGACTTGTCTAACTCAGTTCTACGTGAGTAACTCGGCGAGTTGAGTAACTATTCCTGATTTTACTTTGCTGTTTGTGGGAGTAAACCAGGGTGGCAGTCGAGCCTTGTAGATGCCATGGCATCTGCTCAGAGCAGAGCAGGTGAGGGAA